GTCAATCAAACTAATCGTTTTTTAATGGTTTCCTTTCTGATTCTGTTGAGATCACTTTGTGTGAATATAATAAAACAATTATTCATCTCAGGCGAAGTTAATATTGTTGAATAATGCCCGAGACGAAGTCGACGACGGATACCCACCGCGCTGAAAGCAAAGCTTAAAGAAGGAGTAGGCAATGTGTGAAACTAGGAGTACTTATCCCAGTCTAAGAGCCAACCCCTTGTGCCAGCAGCTTTGAAATAGCCACGAAGAAATTGGGAGCTTTGAGGGTCTGCATTGAACAGAAACACCTCAATGCTGCCCTTCGGAGAGAAACGTACCAACTACCTGTTCGACACGATGTCCAAACCGAACTGGCCTAAGAAAAAGCCTTCAGCACAGTTCATTTACGGCAGGATTCTGGCACTGCCTCCTCGGTGACGAGTCAAGCTTCCTTACAACCTTTTCAAACCCCCAAGGAAGATATCGATGGCTGAGACTTCCTTTTGGTTTGTCAGTTTCCTCAGAGATCTTTGAAAAACGTGTAAATAAAGACCTAGAAGGTCTACACGGTGTCCTTGATATTACTGACGACATATACTAATATATGGAGTCGGACGGAACGAAAAGGAAGCTAACGTTGACCATGATAAGAAATTGAGGGCATTGCTATAAAGATGTGGAGGAAGAAGAATCGCCCTCATCTGTGATAAGCTTAAATTAAGACGAAAAGAGGAGTCATTTATGAGTCACATCTTCACGAGCAAAGGTATTGTCATTGACACAGAAAAAGCACGAGCTGTGCTAGAGATGGAACCCCCTACTGACGTAGAAGGTGTACAGAGATTGAACGGAGTCGTCAATTTTCTCACGAAATTCCCTCCGCGTCTCGCCGCGCGACGTCATGGAACCAATCCACAGACTGACAAGAAAGGAAGTAAAATGGTCCTGGGGTGAAAAGCAAAGGCCGCACTCAGTGAAGTCAAGGTCACGCAAGCTCCAGTTCTGAGCTACTACAACCCCGAGCTTCCCCTAAGTATCCAGTGTGATGCAAGCCAGAAAGGTCTTGGTGCTTCTCTTCCTTAAGGCGGCAAACCCGTAGCATACGCAAGTACTGAGCCCTGACTGAAACGGAGGAAAAATATGCTCAGATTGAGAAAGAAATGCTTCCCATTGTCTTTCATTAGAGAAGTTCAACCAATATGCATTTGGTCGACACGTTGAGGTCTATAGGGACCATAAGCCCCTAGAAACAATTCTTAAGAAACCTCTAGCAGTAGCGCCACGAAGACTCCAAGGAATGATAATGCGTCTTCAAAAGTACACCTTGCGTACTTCGCGGACATGCTATCCAAACCATACCTCCCCACTGAATGAGACTGTGAAGACCACGAGTTCGAGCAAATCAATATGGCCAGTTATCTACCCATTACTGAAGCGTGACTGGTGGAGATCAGGAGAGAAACAGGCGCCGATCTCTCCCTTCAGAAACTAAAATCGGTCGTTACACAAAGTTGGCCTGACGATAAGCAGAAACTGGAAGAAGAGGTACGACCATTCTTCAGTGTCCGAGACGAACTGTCGGAACAGGATGGCCTATTTTTCCGAGGACAGCGAACCGTTATACCGCAGAGCCTGCACCCTATGATCAAACAGAAACTCCATTCTTCACATATGGGAGTCGACTCGGTTTACGTTGGGTCAGAGGGTCAGTATTTTGGCCTGGTTTCTCCGCTCAAATCAAGCAAATGATGGAATCTTTCGAGACATGTCGCAAATGTGAAAGAAGCCCGCAGAAAGAACCGTTAGCTCCTCACGAAGTACCATGCGACCTTGGGAAAAGATCGGCATTGACCTCTTCGCACTGAACGGAAAGGAATTCCTGGTGACTGTCGATTACTACAGTTACGTCTGGGAGATCGACAAACTCCCGGTAGACACAAAGGCACCAACAGTCATCAATAAGCTCAAGCCTCACTTGGCGCGCTACGGCTTCCAGGATCAAGTCGTCACTGACAACGGTCTACAATTCTCCTCTACTAGCAAGTCGTCTCCGCTTTTGGAAACTATGCGTTTTTGTTCAGTTTCCTCTGCCTGAGCTAGTTTTAGAGAATCCAAACGGGATGCAAGTCTTGCATCAGAGCTATCTAGCTATTTTTCTTAGTAGACAGAAAGTGAATCTTTTACGAAACTAAACTAAAGAAAAAAATCGAAAGTTGGCATTCGTTCGGCAAATGACCAACGACCGCGTCTTGCATAAATTAAAATTTTATGTCTGCCCTCTTATAGATCGTTTTCACTGTCACGCAACAAAAAAATACATTGGAAACCGTGCAGTGGAAGAAGCCAAGAAAAAGAAATGTTATAAAAGACTAATATATAAACAATTTGTCCACGTTTCAGGTCTTTGTGCCCCACAGTTTCTGAGTTATTTGCCGAAACGTTTCACGCACCTTTGTAGAGCTTTGTATGGAGACGCCAAAATAGTGTACCGTTTTGGTGCACCAGTGTGGCCGCCGGAAATCAACAAAAACATCTGGAGTTCACTTTTTTTATAAAAGCTCTTTCTTTTCACTCGAGAAGTAGCATACGTGCACATAAACATATCTTCTCATACTTGAAATGGTTCACTGCAGAAAATCAAGAGGAGAGACTATTTTTTCAACGAGAGAGCATTCCTATTTTGGTGTCACGCACTGTGAAAACGCGGGAAGTTCAAATTGTTGCATTTTCGAAATGAAACACGCTACGGGACTGGAAACTTGTACAAAGATTTATTTTTTGTTTGTCTACAACCTAATGTAAATAAGAACTCGTAAAACCTCGCTATTTTGACTTTACGATATGACGACGTCACTGTGAAAACTATCTATTGATCATAAAAATTAGCCAATCAGCGCGCGAGAAATACGTCAGTTATTGTAAAAATTGTATTTGACTATCTCTATGTAAAATCCAAGTCTTTAGTGTCACTCAGATACCCATCACGTAAATTGTAAAATAATAATTACTAAAAAGAAAATTACATGCTCAGTTAACTGACTATTAATTCTTCCCTATGAATGCCTAACTACGCCTTAAATTGCATTCTTAACTGTAAATACCTAACTAGTATGCACATGGTATCCTTCAGTACAAAATATAAATTACATACGTGAATTGGAATTTGCGCAAAAACTATCTCAATAACATGGAAACTATTTTTTTCGACTACAAATAAGCAACTTTTTCATCACTAATTAGAAGTTTGTTCTCCACGGTATTTGGAAGGGAAAGCTATGCACGGCTACGCCTGTAAAAACACTAGTGAATTTATTCAGGATTTTACTTATTTACCTAAAAATTGTATCAAACATTTTCCCAGAAAACGTAAAACCGTCTCTTAAATCCTTTGAACCTAGTATAAGAAAGCAAGTATTAAAGTAGCTTTATTTCTCGTCGATGACGTGGGGAGTGGTCGCCCTGGGCTCGTGTACAAAACAGTCGACCGAAGGAAAAAATTTAAAATTAAAACAACTCACAGTAAGTTACTATGTAAAATACAACTGAACAATGGATAATTTTCATGAATAAGGTATAAAAATCCAAAAAATATATCTACTATATGAATTCAGTTTAAAATGGACCTGATTAAGAAACCTACGGGGTAAACAAAACAAAATACCTAAAATATATATATAATACAATTAACACCACATAATTTGCATTAAAACAGAGCTACAAAATACAAATCTGACATTGACATTCCTTATACGTTACATTTTTGATTAATAAACTAAAAAGCTGGACAGTAGAAGCGTATTTAGCAGACAAAACTTTTAAGTAACTATTAAGTAAACTATTCCCCACATAATCCAAAAAAAAATAAGAAAAAGAGGGTTGAGAGACGTTTAATACACGACCTCGTGGGTTGTAGCTGGTAACCCTAAGCATAAAAAAAAAAAGAATTAGAAATATAGTTAGGGCCATGCATCCTAAACCTTTGGAAAAAGACAATCAGCAATTGCTCAATGTGCCTTTGCTCAAATGAGCTCATTGAGGCAATAGATCAGGCAGACATCGTAAGTGACTTAATTCCCTAAGTTAAAAATTGATGTCAATGCATAATGATTGGCACGTTCAAGTTTGTTGTTCAATGTTTGCGAAATCCCTAGCAGTTCGGTAGCTCGTAGGTTTTGTATAAGGTGATCATCACATTTTAAGGAACTAATCGCGTAACTGTGATTATAATAGGGATCTTAAGCATCGACGACGAAATGGGACGATGACGCCGACCGGAAGTGAAATTTTCCTGCGCGAACTTTCTGGGCAGGCGTAAGGTTGTCAAAACGTCGTCCAGCCTTCGTCGACGACGAAATTCAGGGATGTTTGCCGTTGTCGCTAAAACGTAAGTATAAAACTATACTTTTTGCGTGTAAATCACCCTTTCCCCCCCTTGGCATTCAGTACAAGTAGAAATATATTCTTAGCAGATTAGCAGAATCCAAATGTTAATTTTTCAGGTTCGGTTTGTCTGTAAACCTGAGTGATGGCAGAACAACCAGTCGGAAAGACAAGTAAGACAAGAACATGCAACTTGTTTTGCAACATTGCTGCAAAACGAGTTCAAAGGCAAGGTTTCTTATTTTACCACCCACGTTTAAACCTGTCTTGCAAGAAATCAGGTACGTTGTTGCAGAACGCTGAGGGTAGTTCTTCTTTGTGTAACAAAATCTGTACATATTGCGCGTTTTACCGTTTTGTTTCGCAGCAAGTGACTAAGCCCCCGTGTATAGTACTGTGACTCCAGCGTAAGTCAGTATTCACGCAACTTGCAGCAACCTAATTTTTTGCAACTCAGGTTTTAAGGTGGGTGGTAAAACGCGCAACATTACCCACCTTTTAGCTCGTTTTGTAGCAATGTTTTGAAACAAGTTACGCGTTTTGTTGCCCGTTTTACCGTAAGTTAAGCGGGGAAAGAAGTACTGATAATTGAGACTGAGCAGATAACTAACATGTCATTCAAGCACACGTTTTTAACATGCTACATTGAAATCCTTTAATTCGTCGGTTATCGTCTGCATGTTTGGTCTCGTGCCAGGTTCTGTCTGCAAGCATCGCCGTACCAGGCCTCTTAACACGCGGTTAGTCACGAGCATCACTTGTTCGTCACGCCTTCTAGGATCTGGAAGTTCCCGGATGCAAATTTCACAAAGAAGAACACCAAAGCTGTAAACATCAACCTATGAACGATACACACATTGTTTAATTTTTGTTATTGGTTTTGGAGCTTACTATTTTATTACTACCACTTATATGTTACTCCCAAAATACCATGCCATCTCTAATATTCCATTCATTACTTGCATAGAGCAGACCGAGGCAACTTTTCCATCAGCCAGAGCTAAACAACAGCAGCAACAACAACAACAACAACAACAACAAAAACAAAAACTGTTAATGACTAGTCACCACAATAAAAGTTGGAGGAGTTCATCCTTTTCATAGATACATAGAAGATCACAGAAAAGACAAATACAGTCGAACCTCTACTGACGGCCATCTCTCTGCAGCGGGAATCGTCTTTAGCTCAACGGACAAATTATACTGTCACAATACCCTCTCTGTTAATGAAATGCCACTTAAGGTGGCCCGAACCTATTTATATGCGTGTTGTTTGTTTTTGCACCAAGGTTTAACGTCAATTAATGATACTTTTACCTGACAAAGTTACCAACGTTTGCCCACAGCTTACAAAAAAGGGATATTGCTACTACACAACGCATGGGATGATCAGTTCAGCATTATTTAGCTGGCTCTGATTTTACACCTACGTAAGGAATGCCAGTGTGAAGTAGGTTTGCTTTTGTGTGACGGAACGAGCGAACAGGCTGACGCGCCCATGATCACAGCACCAACGAGTGTCAAGTCTAAAATAGAAGTTGGTTGAACAGTTTTGAACCAAAACTAACCTTGACTGTTTGGTTCGGAGTAAGTGCTTCAGGCGCGCTGTAAATCATAGCTCCAGGAGCCACTGTCATCGTCTGCTGCATGAAATTAGCAGTGCCATAATCTGAAACTTTGGCCCTCCATTGGTCACCCTGTTGCCATAGCAACACATTAGCACTGCTCACATCCCGGTGAATGATGGGTTCAGGTTTCTTGCGATGAAGGTAGTTCAGCGCGCGAGCTACATCTAGAGAAATGGTGCGTATTTCTGTTTCGGAGAGTTGCTGCTGTTCCAAAAGTGTCCGCAGACTTTTCTCCATCAGCTCGGTCACAAACAGAGGGTTTTCCTCATCATTTGTAGCACCAATAAACTGTAGCAAGTGAGGATGACGGCACTTGGATGCAATATTCATTTCTCTCTCAAAAAGACGTATGTTATGAGGAGACACAATCAGATCATGGATTTGTTTCACGGCAACGGTACAGCCACAATAACTTCCCTCGTAAACACTTCCCCAGCCCCCCTTCCCAAGGCATTTTTCTTTCATTTGAATTTCATTGCGAGAGATAAGCCAGTCACATGTTTCCTGGTGACGCAGTTCATTAATTGTTAGCTGAGCTGTTGAAAGACTTAACTCTACCTCATTAATTTCCTCTTGTTTGTCCCTCAGTTGTTTTTCTAAGTTAGAAATTCGTTCTTCAGAATTCGTCAACTGCCCTCGGTAGTTTTCTTTACGTTGTTCCATCTCCCTTAACTGCCCTTGATAGTTTTCTTCACGTTGTTCCATCTCCCTTAACTGCCCTTGATAGTTTTCTTCACGTTGTTCCATCTCCCTTAACTGCCCTTGATAGTTTTCTTCACGTTGTTCCATCTCTCTTAACTGCCCTTGATAGTTTTCTTCGCGTTGTTCCATCTCCCTTAACTGCCCTTGATAGTTTTCTTCACGTTGTTCCATCTCCCTTAACTGCCCTTGATAGTTTTCTTCACGTTGCTCCATCTCCCTTAACTGCCCTTGATAGTTTTCCTCACGTTGTTCCATCTCCCTCAACTGTCCTCGATAGTTTTTTTCATGTTGTTCCATCTCCCTTAACTGCTTTTGATAGATTAGTTCGCGTTGCTGAAGCTCCCTCAACTGCCTGTCCAAGTCTGAGTTTGGCCGTTGAATATGTGCTCCGTCTGTTCCTTCTGGTAAGTTTTTTTAAAAAAACGAAACCAATAATCAATCAAAATCATCGAACTAAGATGAGCCATTGTTAGAAGTTACTGGTTTTACTTGAAAGAGTAACACGGCGGTCATTTAATTCTTCCCCCCCCCCAAAAAAAAAAACTACAACAAAAACAACTCCCAAACCCCTAAGTAAATTTGACACTGATCACCAGGCTCGACTTGGAACATTTCAGGTCTGAAAAATGGCCAGCCGTAACGGAAAGTGCTCGCTTTCTATGACCTAACAGATAAATAAGGGACTGTGAACAGGCTATTTCTATGGAGGTGATGATTCCTTTCTATCCAATTACATTTTATATATATATATATATAATAAAAAAAGAACAAGTGCTATATTAGAGAAAGGAATAGAATGGAAGTAAAAACCTCAAACACAACAAAACTGTAATAACAAGGGAGAGATTTTCAGTCAGTTTGAAACATTTTTACATCAATTTGTGTAGAAAATCACTGGCGTACGACAGGGTGGCAAGTTTTGTACTTTTCATTTACATACTTCAAAAACTCATAGACATTCGGTAGGCATATTGTCCAATTGAATGCAAGTATTTCATATTGTACAAGCACCTCTATACCCACTAAAATGAAAAGCCAGGGAATGGCTTTGAATTCAGCTGCAGGGGAGATACCGGGTGGAACGACTAAAACAAAGGTGCATTACTATGCGAAAACGGTGATTTTGGGCTCCCTTGGTGAGTATAACCAAAATTTTTGCACGTGTGATGTGCGTTTCAATTGTGCAATTCTTTGTCATGTCTGAGGCTCTGCGTTGCTAACAATAGGCATAAATGGATAACCGAGTAATAAATGTTGTTACGTTAACAGTTTAAACTACCTTTGCTATACCTTAAATCAGCGTCACTGATTGGTGGGTTATGACTGTAGCGCGAGTCTTGTCTACAGTGCGTCAGTAGGGTAAAGAAACCTTTTCCTACAGGGCATGTAAAGTATCTTTGTCCACCAAACGTTCCATCCGAACATGCACTTTGTTCATCCTCCTGTAACATGAGCAACGTACCCGGTTAATGTGCGGTAAGGCTTGCATGACGATATCCTAGACCCAACGTTGAGTAATCTATTCAACAACATTCGCATTCATGTGCAGTTGTAACATATAGATTTAGCCAGGGCTAAAAGCGAAGCTCCTATTAATAAATTTACAATTTAAATCAAACAATAAACTTGTGATCTACAAAAGTCAATTCAATTCCCGTGTAAGTACACTGAAAACTCCCTTTCCGATTCAATAAAGAATGTAGCTCAACTATCGGAATATACATGTGGGTTTTTTATCGTTTGTAGAAGTTAGTGTAAGTTCTCGGATAATTGCACTTGATCACAGTAGATTAGGCCTCCAAAACAAATTCTTGGAAAACAAAGCAGGCCGAATTTTTTTGCGTTCGATAGGTTTACTTAACAAATTTTTTGCAACAAATCTGGGGGTGTGTAAACCAACCTTTTATACTCTTTATACATCACATCTGAGGTGAAACAGTACTATTTATCATACAGACCTCGGACAGAATGCGGCATTTCACAATTTTTCAAGACAAATTGCACGTATTAGTCAATATTCAGGACGATCAATCGTGGGCTTTTAGCGAAACCGTTCAAAAAAATTCCAAAATCACCCATACGGCCAGCCGGTTCTCATTTCTAGTGCGAGCTGTCAGTATGGTCGAGTGTTTGAATGAACTTTAATAGAGTTATGATTCAACATAATAACGAATTTATTATTATTTTTTGTTATTTAATGGTTTCAGTTATAACGATGTGTAATCTTATAAAGCGTTTGATACGCGCGACATTTTTTGAGTACTCCTTCAAGCGATGTTCATGAACGATGAAAACAAACGGCACCTACAAGCGATTAAAATTGCAAGAGACTACTAACAATCAATAAAAGAAATATAATTCGGTGAAACATTTACAGAGGCAACAATTTTCATTCACGAAGACAGTTATTAAAGTGTGTCTAAAAATCCTGAGTCTTTAATCTTAAGTTAATTATGTTTTACTTTAAGCCGGCCTCCCGGTGTTTGCTTTTTTCAAAGATGAACTCCTCGAAGCAAGAAAATCGCTCAAAGGTTTCTTTCCACAACCAAATTTATAACTAAATATTCTTCGGAACGTTTTTTTTAATTTGCGGTGAGAAAGTATATCTGAAGGCCTTTTAAGTTCTGTAAGCTTATATCAAACCTGACACTAGGTCAGATCATTGACGCAAATCTTACAAACGTGCATAAACTTGCCGCATAAACTGTGCTCGACTTCATGAAATTAGATATGACAAAACCAAACATCAAATACAATAATTACTCAGGCTTACCATTCGAGATTCAGTTCCTGAGAGCTATCAAGGAAGGCCACAGTTGCTTGAGACTTTTAAACCCTCTTACGCATTAAGCAAGGTAAAAAACGAAAACGATGCCATCCGAAATCGGATTACCGAATTTTGACAAGTGACTCATTTCTCAACCAAACACCGAATAAACAAACCAGCCATGAATGACAGAAGGCTCTTGATAGCAGCTGTATTTCATTTTGTACATCCAGTGGAAAAAGACAGTTAAAAACATCACAAGTTGACAAAAAAACTCTGTACGCTTCAGCGCAAGCTGTCGAAGTAAAAAACTTTCAAGATGCTGCATAAATTTTCCGCATGAACTCACCTGTCAAATTTTGACCAATCAGAGAATAAAAATTGGACGCACAGCGTGACCAACGCGTGTCCATGGTAAGAAAAGGTCTTCTCGCCTGTATTTTTAACAAACTGTTGAATTTTCGCGTCCGAGGTCAGTTTGAATCAAAATCTTAATAGTGCGGGGCCATAGTGACATTTTGTGTTGTATAAAGTATACTTAGTAACCTTTTTTATTTGAACTCCGACGCTAGTAAACTTTGACCATTAAACAGTTGCCTATTGAAGTTTTTTTATGAGCTGGAGCTACCCAGCTGTGATGAGCCCGCGGTACGGTCAGGTGATACTGCTCAGCGGATACCCTGTTTTGACAGCTGTCAATTGATCACAACATTGATGTGCAATTATTTTTCTTCTGGGCTCCCAAACTGGCTAGAAAGTGTGAGAGTAAACATTGGTTTCCCTGTGGTGCGGACGGACGGTCGTTCGGTGTACGGTCACGTGATTACCAAATTTTCTGGGATGGGTAGATTACCTTAGCTATGGGGCTCCGCCCACGCGCGCGCTTCGCGCGCGCGTGGAGCTCCGCTATTATGGTATGAAAAATTATTGATGGGCAGATCAAGCCTAACTGGGACAGCTTGGCTAGGGGGTAGTTTGTTATACGACCAAAGCGATTTTCTGGGTGGGGAATGGGCCGTTCACCCCTGCGTAGCTGCGCTGAAAACTGAACATGATCTACAATGACTGGCTGTCCATTGGACTCTTTACAAGAAGTATAGCTTGGATTGTTAAGATAATTGGTCAGAGCATGTATCAGTTAGGATCACTAAGTCATACTACTCTAGGACTATGGCATACAAACTCATCATCCAATTGAACAAACCAAATCTGACAAAATATTTGCGGACAAACAGAAAAGCGTGTGCCAAACATTGAAATAGCAATACCTGGTGTTGCTTAAGTCGAGAACAAAGAACAGGAGAGTTTAAAAAAAGAATTGAAATAAGAAGAAAAGAGTCCTTTTTAACACATGGATGACGTAGTCATTCCGTGAGCTTCTGGAGACAATCAAATGGCACACGATCACTTACTGACTCCCTCATTCACGCACTTGACTCTCGTTAATTTATTCATTAAACTTAAAATAAACATTTTACTCCCACCTCCCCTTGCTAAGTATTGCTTTTTACTTGTTCCAATGCAACTACTTTATGCGCACATGTTTGGCAGATTCTAGTGTGTTCTAGAAAGGCTTACATTTTGCCAGACAACATAGAGAAAATGCGATCGATTGAGTCTGAAAGGGCTTACGAAATGGCGGCCGGAAGATGAGAGTTCGTTCAGTGAAAAGCTAATACGCAAAAGAACCCTAAGTGCTTTCTCCCAAAATGTGAAAGCAAATTTCTCTCCCTTCGTGTGGAGGTCACTCCTTAGAAAAATGAAGTCATATTGGTAGATCGCCCTGTAAAATAGAAGCATATTAACCCGGATAGTCAGAAGGGCTTTTAATGCAATATCAGACAGAATCTTAACTAACACTTAATTTACTCTGCGATTGTTAAGAAACAGAAAATTACTGCTCTATAACGGCATTTTTATTTTAAAGTTGACCCTGTCACGTTTTATAAGCGCAGAACGACAATAACTTTCGAAATTTCCGGTTAGATCAAACTACTCAAGACATCGTTTCTTGTTTTAAAAGAGTAACTTTTGTTCACTGGTATAAGTTACTATACAGACCCGTTTAACAAATTGTCACGTACGCCAGCGGACAGATGTACCCCCATTATGGGGGTCTTATATTGAACTGTCTTTTCTACACTCATCCAATTCATCCATGAGTTGGCTCACAGCAGCCTTTGATTTGTCAAAAGGACTAGAAGGTCACTTAGAACAGATTGGTAAAACAACTCGATCTTAATCTTATCCAAAAGACTGCCCTATTGACAAGTGTTTGAAAGCACTGTTTTCCAAATACAACGCATCCGGAATTAGTGAGATGAAAAGGTAAATGTTTCACCGTTCAACTTCTGGTATATTTTTCAAAAATTGTGTCAAAAAAAGTGAATACAACGCTGTAAATAGCTTTTAAAAGCGAAAAGATGTAAGTTGTACTATAATTAAGTTAAATATGGTCGATCTAAGCTCATAAAAACAAATACAGTGTGCAGAACACATTGTTAAGATGATATCTACATATCGAATCATCTAAGAATGGAGTTTTCCCTATATAACAAAACTTAATTGAAAACTGCGAGTAAAACGATAAACAAGCCTGAAGTAAACAGAAAATCGCCAATGTTTT